GGAAGAACCTCTTGGAATGCCTAGAAACGAAAAACAAAAAGGAGAAGCACAAGCAATGGACAGAGGGCATGGAATGCTATTTGGGCTGGCCAGAGCCTGGCAAGCTAGGTTGGAGATAGAAAATAGAGCGCCTTCAATGCAAATTCAAATGTTCAGATTCTGTCCTTTTGCCTAGTGGCTTCCTGCCTGCTTCTTCGAATTACTTAGGATGCCTTCTAAAAATATAAATGCCCAAACCAAGACACACCAAATAAATCAGAAAATTGGGGTGTGGAGCTTGGATGTAGGGTTTATTTTAAAAGCTTCCCAGTTGATTTTAACCTATATCCAGGGTTGAGAACATAGAAATGGCAGCATAACATTACTAATGCCAACTCGGGACCATGCATAGGATGGATTGAGTGGAGGGAGAACTGAAGGCTGCCTAGTATATTTACATATCTGTTTCCTTTCTGCAAGAAGACAGGAAGCAGTTGACTGCCTGACTTCACTTCCTGTTTTGCAGTGGTAAGATGATACAGAAGGCATTTTAAGTTGTCTTTCCTCTAGAGTAAAACCCAAACACGAATTTACATTTGTAATCCACTCTCCTTTTTATCACAATTTGTGCATATAAAAATAATTTTCAACAATAACAATCTGCAGTTAACTGTTACATACAACTATTAATATTTTAGCAACAAACCACCAGGAAGATGCCTGAGAACATTCTGTTTTAAAAGAGAAATGCTTTTAACCTACTTTATTAAAGTCAGCATATTCCAGACCTTCCATGGTTGCTAGACTCTGATTGCCATAGGCACAATTCTACATTAAATATTGAAATGCATTTACCCTCTTGCCAAAATGTTTATTAAAATGTCAGTTAAAAAAAAGAAAGTAAAAAATAAACAAACAAAAAAGAATAAAATGTCCGTTGAACATTATAAAGCATAAACATCTTCCCTATGATATTAAATTTCTGGAACTTTAAGGAAATTCTAGCTCAAACATACTTCTATTAAAATCAGCAAGAAAATCGCTAGGTAACATGACTATTTTTTTCAGCTTTATTGAGATATAAGTGACATATAACATTGTGTAAGTTTAGGGTGTACAATGTGATAATTTTATTTATATATGTGTGTATATATGTATATGTGTGTGTGCATATAGTGAAATAACTCATAAGGTTAGTTAACACATCCACATCCATCACCTCATATAGTCACCATTCTTCTTTCTTTCTGTGTATGTGTGTGTGTGGTGAGAACATCTAAGATCTACTCTCTTAACCTTCAAATATATGATACAGTATTGTTTATTATAATCACCATGCTGTACATTACATCCACAGAATTTATTTATCTTATAACTAGAAATGTGTACCCTTTGACCGTAACTTCCCTATTTCCCCCAACCTCTAGTCTTTGACAACCACCAATCTATGCTTTGTTTCTGTGTAACATGACTATTTTAAGTGAAAGAGTTAGGAGAATTTTGACAAAACATGAAAAATATATTACTTTAATGGTCAGTATACTTTTTAAAAAATCAAGATAAAAGAATGTGACTAAGAGGTCGTTCTGTCTTGCTGTGCCAGATTTCCCTTCTTTGAGAGCCACTCCAGCCAGATCCCCTAGCTGAGGCAGCAGCCTATATGGTCTATGCCATATAATGCCCTTCATAGAACAGATAACCAGGCCTAAAAGGTGACCTGATGTGAACACCAACTAAACAGGGATGATGGGGACTACCTACCTCCATTCTCTTTCAAGAATATGAACTGGAAATGGAAAAAAAAGTCAATCACCTTGTGGGAGTAAGGAACTAGGAAGAAGCCCTGAGAAGCCCTAAGAGGGGCAAGTTATGAGTAAACTGAAGACATTCGATTC